ATATGATAATGGATATTTTACCCTCCAGAGTAATAAAAATATACAAAAAGTTATTGGCATATCATAATGTGAAGGTAATAACAGGTATTAATTATTAAATGTAAGCTCACATTAGTGTAATTTGTTTTACCTTTTGTAAGTATCCTTTATAGTTTTAGCTATGTGTAAAGTGACTGGCACATAGTGGGTGCTTAGTGAATGCCTGTCCATTGATTTAATGATTGGTTAGTGGCCCTACCCACAACTATATCTCATATTTCCATGACTTTGCATTGGCTGTCCCTGTCCTCACTTCTGTCTCATAAAATCTTTTTCTTCCTTCAAGATGCAGTTCAAGTACCACCTTCTACCTGAATCCTTTTCTTATCCTCTTAATTGCTGGTGGCTACCTTGTAACTACCTTGTTTTTATTTTCTATATTTGTTTTGTAGATATTTATATATGTATCTTTTGTCTTCTCTGTTAAAATGGAAACTGTTTGAGAAAAGGAATTGTTTCAGTCTTTGTATTTGTATCCCCAGTGCCTTGCATACAGGAGTCACTTAATAAATGCTTAACGACTGGTTGCTTAAATAATAATATAATAAGGTGGCATGGCATTTACTACCAGAGTAGTTGTTATCATAAGAAACATGGACTGGATGACCCTTCCAACTCTAAATCTAAGATGCTTGGATCCCATGTTGGTTTCCTTACTTGCAAGCTTAGTAACTGCATCCCAAAGTATTTGCAAATTCTTTGAAGGGACAATTAGAGGGATGTGCAGGTACTAGGTCATATGACTCCTAAGACTCCTAAGACTAGATTTTCAGTGTATTTGCACCTTTAAACGCAACAAATAAAGATGTGATTTAATGTTCTGTTGATTGTCTATAGCTAGGGGTGGGGAACCTGTGACCTGTAGGAGACGTGTGGCCTTTTAACTGAGTCCAAGTTTTATAAAACAAATTCTTTTATTAAGGGGATTTGTTCTGTGAAGTTTGGATTTGGTCAAAGGGCCACACTTGAGGACTTAGAGGGCCACATGTGGCCTCCAGGTCACAGGTTCCTCACCCCTGATACCCATAAAACAGAAGCAGAGAGCATAATGGATTAGAAACCGGAGTCCAACAATATGTTGTTTACAAGAGACACACTTGAAGCAGAAAGACACACATAGAGTTAAAATAATGCTCTGGAGCAGAATCTAATTATGCTTCAGCTGAAGCATAGCAATCATGAACTCAGAGCAGAAGCAGAAACAGACCTAATTAAAAGAGATAATCAGATTATCAAAATAATCAGATTAACAAGAGATAATATATTTTAAGAGGTACCATAGACAGTGAAGTAAAATCAAAACTTTTACAATATCTTTCTCTGTTAAAGGCCTCATTTCTCAAATATAAAGGGAACTGAGTCCAATTTATGAAACTAAGAGCGATTCCCCACTTGGTAAAAGGTCAAAGGCAGCTTTTGGAAGAAGAAATCAACGCTATTTATAGTCATGTGAAAAAAATGCTCTAAATCACTATTGATTAGAGAAATGCAAATTAAAACAACTCTGAGGTACCACCTCACACCTATTAGAAATGACAAATGCTTGAAGGATGAGGAAAAAATAGGTACATTAATAAACTGTGGAGTTGTGAACTGGTTCAACCATTTCAGAGAACAATTTGGAACTATGCCCAAAGGGTTATAAAACTGTGCCCATACCCTTTAATCTAGGTCTATACCCTAAAGAGATCAAAGAAAAAGGAAAAGGACTAAATGTATGAAAATATTTATAGCAGCTCTTTTTGCAGTGGCAAAGAACTAGAAATTGAAGAGATGCTCATCAATTGGGGAATGGTTGAACAAATTGCAGCATACGATTGTGATTGAGTATGACTATTTTGCTGTAACAAATGATGAGGGGGTGGCATTAGAAAAATATGGCAAGACCTATATGAACTGATGCAAAGTGAATTGAGAAGAATCTGGAGATCATTGTATACAGTAACAGTTACAATGATGATTGACTGTGAAAGGCATAGCTACTCTGATTAATACAATGATCCAAGACAATTCCAAAGGACTCATGATAAAAAAAAATACTATCTACCTCCAGAGAGAGAACTGATGAACTCTGAATGCAAGGTGAAGTATAATTTTCTAATATGTATATACATATATATATATACATATATATATATACACACACACACACACACAGATGTGTGTATATATATCTTTTTTGGTGATATGGCTAATATGGAAATATGTTTTACAAGATTTCACATGTATAACTGATATATTGTTTGCCTTCTCAGTGGTTGGGGGAGAGGTAGGAGGGAGAGAGAGAATCTGGAATCAAAATTTAAAAAGAAAAGAAGATTAAAAATAAATAATAATTAAAAAAGAAAAGAAAACATTTAGCAGCACACCCCTGAGATGTGACTCTGAATTTGTCACATTTTGAACAGCATTCTTTACTCAGGAAGCATAAGATTCATTCAGCCTCACCTGATAAGTCACAAAATAAAGCTTATGAGACCTCCAAGGAGTCCCTATGTCTGAAAAGTGCAGTTGCATGATGAAATATTTAACATCCTTCTGGGGACCAGAAGGTCCCCAGAATACAAACCTTTTGTGGATCCAGAAAAGGCGATTTCGTTTAAACAGAAGCCATGATCTTTTGATTCAGAAAGGAACAGAGGGAGGAAATGATTAGTCACTAATCAAGGGTGTGATGAGTTAGGCTTTTTTGGGGTGGTTGTTATTCCTCAATGGGAAAACTCAGGAAATCAGAAGAGGGAGGAGAAGATGAGAGAAAGTGCAAAGCACGAGCACAAACAATATCTACGTCACTCAAGAAGGCAGGGGTGATTTCAAAAACTCAAAAGCAAGACTTACCAAGGATTAATCAATGGGGATAACAAAGGATTTCTTGAAGCCTACATCACTCAAAAAATGATAGATTTATGTTCCAGGAGATTTCCTATCCTGAGGCAATGATCATAGATTGAGCTGGAAGGCATCATAAAGGCCATCAGATGGCGGAAACTGAAGCCTAGATATGTTAAGTGACTCTCCTAGGCTCACATATCTAGTAAGCATTGGATGTAGTATTTGAATCCAGGTCCTTCTGGCCCCAAGCCCCACCTACTATGCCATGTTGCTCCATAAAATCATATCAGGCAGGCAAGTTTGACTTCTTAGGCATTGGAAAAGTCATTTAATCTCCTTGGGCCTCTGTTTTTTCTTCTGTAAAATAAGGGGGTTGATCTAGATGACCTCCCAGGTCTCTTCTAGGTCCAAATCTGTGATCTTACTTTTCTGACTTTGGACAAGTCACTTTACCTCCCTATGCCTCAGTTTCCTCACCTGTAAAATGGACTAGATGACTAATAGAGTCCCTTCCAGCTCTAAACTGATGAATCTTCTAGCAAGGATTATCTTCTCCCAAAAGGCCACAAATATCCAGAAGTTCTTTGAGTCACCTCACTTTTCTTCTTCTGTTTTTAGAAACCTTGAAGTGTCCATGTCAGGAAGAACATCTTGGATAATTCTGCTAGGGCCCTTTCTCCAACCTGGCCAAAATCCCTATTTGCCCAAAGAGTCCCAAGATCCTGTTTATGGATTTTGGCTGGCTATATCCCCTTTACGACAAAGATGAAGCACCTGAAGCAGCCAACATCAACAAAAGTAAAACCAAGAGCTTTAACTCTATATTCTTGTACCTTGGGAAAATTTATTGAGAGACAACCAGCAAAGAGGACAGGCTGTTAGCACCTTCGATTATAGATTTAGAGTTGGAAAGTACTTAAGAGACTGCTCGTATAACACCTCCATTTGATAAAGAGGAAACTGAGGCTTGATTAAGGTTGTACAGGCAGTAACCCATAAAGGTAAGATTCAAACCCAAGTCCTCTGACTGCAAACTCACTGATGTGCACTGTACCATGTAGCCTCCCATCCTCTAGAGGGTTCAGGATGCACTCCCATGCTACTGCCAGCAGTCGTTGACCCTATGCCTCAATCTCAGTAAGAAGGAGCAGACAGAGAAGAGCAGTGGTCAGGGAAGATGGATTCTTCATTGGAGACATCACAGTAGAATCTGAGGGGTGGCATCCTTGGCTAGGCACGTTAAGGAGCCACTGGAGATGAAGTTCAGAGATGACAGGCTGAAGACAGGCTATAGAACAAGGGTTCTTAACTCATCACAGACTCCTTGGATAGTCTGCTAAAACCTAAGGATTCTTTCTCAGAACAACATTTTCAAATGCATAAAATAAAATATGATAACAAAGAAAACCAATTACACTGAAATACATTTATGCAAATACTCTTAAAAACACAAGTTTATACAGCCAAGAATAAGAACCCATGCTCTAGAAGGGAGCATGCTGCATCGCCACCTAATTAACACCTAAAACTCCAGTAACCCTACCCTAATTATAGCTGCGTTCTTCACTCCAAAGATGGAGGCTCAACACTGCGGGAAGCTTAGAGGAGCTGCTTTGGTGTCTGCTACTAATTCCCTGCCATCTGTGCAAATAACAGAGACCAAGCCTGAATAAATATGTGATGCCACCCGGCCAAAGGTCCATGGAATTGGAGCAGCCCACTTTCACTCACTGACTCTGTCATGGAAAAGCAGACAGAGGAAGTTTCTATAGACAATGGCTCATTGCCAGAATGCATTTCATGGGATCATAAATCAAGGGCTGAAGGTGGCCTTAAAGGCCATCTGGTCCAACCTTCCCATTGTTCTTATGAGGAAATGGAGGCCCAGAGACTTGCCCATGGTTATACAGGTCATAAGTAGGAGAGTCAGGATTTGAACCCAGGTCCTTTGACTCCAAGCACAGCAATCTTCACACTGTGCCATGATTCTAAGCACTCTAGACTGGTAAAGTACAGCCAAATGAAGCAGTTAACAATGAATGAGAGTGCCCTCTTTTCATTTAAAAATGTTCTTATCATTTCTCTGGAGAACTATATGTATATCTTTAATCTTCCATCCAAACACTTACCTCCTTCTCCATTTGCAAGCCTTCTGCTCTGATATTTCTTTCAAATACCTCCCTCTTTTCAGTCTGTGGGTTGGTTTTCCTATACACAAGGATGTAGTCAATTCGACATTTTCCATCTCTAAAATAAAGTCCATTGGATCTGTTTTTTTCTGATGCTACCTGTATAAAAAACAAAAAAAAGGAATCCATTTAATCAGTCATAGAAACTGAGACTCGGTGTTTGTGAGAACTTATTCTGAGGTTAAGTAAAGAAATACGAATAAATCACACACACACTCCAATACAAATACCCTAAGGATCTCTGGAACTTGCTGCCCACCCTGCAGCTGAGCTCTCCTATACGTGTTTCCCACAATTAAGAGTATCAGCTTCTGGACAGCATAGACCATTGTTCCTTTCTATCTATATCCTTTCAGCTTAGCATAGTGCTTGGCACACAGTAAGTAGTTAATAAAGGCTTTTCTCCCAATTTATACAACACGTACACATATGTAGCTGCATACACACATGTATACAAACATGTATGTACATATATGTACCCACGTGTATGTACATGTACACCCTGTGCATATATACACACATATACCCATGTGTAACAATTAGAAAGATCAGTATGATTTTTTCTGGCTTCTGAAGTCCACTGTCATTGAATGCATCAGTGATAAAACCCTAAAGGTAGGGCTGCTAAAAATTTGGCAGACTACAATCAAATTTCCCAGATAGAGAGACTTTACTTATTTTTGTAAGTTTTACTGATGTCTTTTGTTTTCATACTACAGTCATTACCTGAAACTACCGCCCCTACCCTCATTCATTAAACTCATTCCTATGACAAAGAAAAGCAGTAATTCAAAGCCAAACAACAGAGTAAATGCACTGTGAACCTTATATACCATTTCACACCTACAGTCCCCCCCCCAATCTCTTTGTAACTGAAATTAGAATTTGATGAGTAGTTCAAAGGAGAGGCCAAAGTGCCATGACCAACTCAAGGGGAGAGATGACTTCCATTTGCGGGGCTCGGGAAAGGTTTCATTTAGCTGCTGGTAGGTGGGCAGCACCTTGAAGGCAGAATCTCTAAACTGCAATCTCCCTCATGTAATTCAAGAATAAGGAGATATGTTTTATGAACTTTAGAAGATCAATTCCAAAATGGCAGCAATTTTACTTAACATTGGGAGAAGAGATTGGAATAAGAATCTGGGGACAATTTCTTTCTGTTACTGACTTCCTTGCCCAACAGTATAATTGTGGGGTCAAAAAGGATGAGCAAATGAGTGACTTTTCTTGAAGAATTACTAATTGTTCTCCAGAATGGTTAAATAAGCCCACATCTCCACAACAGTGTATATATGTTTGATCATTTTTGAGGTAAGAGAGAAAAAAAAAAGAAAGTGGTGGAAAACAAATTGGCATAATGCTAGTTACTTGCATACTTGGTTATCTAAATTTCAAAGAAGGTAAATAATAAAGTCATTTGAGATGGGTCTTCCAATGACTGTCCATTCTTATTACTTAAATTCATTACATATATTCATCATAGTGGTATATAGACACAATCAGGGTAATGGGGCATACAGTCGAGCAAATATTTATTTTGCCAAAATGACATCAGACAGATGGAACTAATTCACACAGTAATTGCAATGACTTTCTCAATTGCACAGGCACATGGAAATATAGGCAACCGTAAGACAACAATTATTATGTATGAGTTGTATGAAAAGTTAGGTGGTATTGTGGATAGAGCTCTGGCCCTGCAGTCAGGAAGACCTAAGTTCAACTCTGGCCTCAGACACTTATTAGCTGTGTGACCCTGGGCAAGTCATCTAACCTTGTTTGCCTCACTTTTCTCATCTGTAAAATGAGCTGGAGAAGGAAATGGCAAACCAGTCCAGATGCTTTGCCAAGAAAATCCCAAATGGGGTCATGAAGAGTCAAACGTGACTAAACAACAACATATGTAAATTATTATTATTATTATTTTTTGCTTTTTGGTAAGGTGATGGGGGTAAGTGCCTGAGGCTGGATTTGAACTCAGGGCCTCCTGACTCCAAGGCTGGAGCTCCATCCACTGCGCCACCTAGCTGCCCTTAAGGGCAAATCATTATCCCCCATATGTGGGAGCGTACTAAAGAAGTTTAAGAGTTCCAAGTCTTATATCCTATTCTGGTAGAGTTTATTACAAAGAACAATCAAATAGTCAACCAACAAACACTCATTTAAAAGAAGCTTTATTCATGTAAACTTGATTTTATTAGGTATAGGAATGGGACTAATTGACTATATTTCCAACTCAAAGGTTCTTTCCATCGTGTTATAGGAGAGAAAACTGGAAGAGTCCTTAGAGGTCACTAAGTCCAACCTCTTCATTTGGCCACTTAGGCCTCCATAATCAAAATGACTGGGTCAACATCACACAATGAAAAAACAGAACTTAAACTACAGTGTAATACAATTAGTAAGTTTCCCCAATTAGAATGCAAGTTCCTTGAGAGCAGGGAACTGTTTCACTTTTGTTGTTGTGTCCCTAGCACTTAAGTGTCTGGCACATAGCAAGCACTTAAAATGCTTGTTCATGGGGAAATTAATTGACTGGCAAACCCAGAACATGAACTCAGGTTCTTTGACTCTAAACCCAGTTCTCCATCCACTATACTATCTGCCTCTCCAGATTGGTTACTGGTTGAATGGTTACCTGGGAAGGAGTTTGTGCATTTATTCTTTGAAAAGTAGTTACCATACAAATGTTTTCATAATCATACCTAGTCTATAAATTACAGAGGGAAAGTAAATAAATGAATTTTAGAACAATCAAAGAATACTAATATACTTGATGGAGTTGTAAATTTATTCATGACCCATCTGGAAAAAAATTTGGAATTATGCAAGAAAATGGCTCAGTTGTTCATACTTTTGACACTGTGACCACATTGTTAGGCATATAACTCAAGGAGATCAATGACAGAAAGAAAGACCCCCATACAAAACAAAATACTCATAGTGCGCTCTTTGAGGTAGCAAAATCATGCAACTGGAAAAAAGTGAATGTCCATCCACTGGGAAATGACTGGACCAATTATGATATATGAAGGTAAAGGAACATTACTGTAATGTAAGAAATAATAATAATAATAATTATTGTTAATAATTCAGAGAAGTATGGGAAGACTTACATGAACTGATGCAGAGCAAAGTAGATGGAACCAAGAGGAGAAAATGGCTACAATGAGGGTCACGAAAACCACATCAAGAAAGCAAATGAATTTAGGTTCGTTACAATAAATAATCTTTGTTCCAGAGAACAAGGGCTATAAAGGACACATGCCTCCTCTTTTTACTGGAGGTGAGTGACGGGTAGCAGAAGAAGCATGTCAGTCACATGCTTTGTCAATCCTACCTATTTTTCTTTATAACAAAGATGGCTTCAGTGTTGGTGGTGAGAGAAGGGGGAAGCGTACATATTTGGAAATGACCATAAGATAAAAAAAAGGAAGGAAAAGGAGTCAATTAAGAGGAAAAAAAATGAACACTAATTCACAAATAAAATGTTCTCCATTTTCAAATGAATTCGACATTTATCCAAGAAATTCTAATTGATCAAGAGCCCATAGACGCAGCATATATTGAGCACTAGAAAAATATATTTTCACCTTTTGCTGAGGGTACAGAAGGTAGCATGTGCTGTTGGGCCTGATGGCAAGAATTACATTTTCTCTCTGTGCTAAGTCTTACCTCTCCCACTGCTTCCAATCTACTTGCATCATCTGAAGTACTGGTCAAGTTACCAGGGTGAAGGAGGGAATCATCATCTTTGCAAGGACTATTGACAGCTTCTAATTCATCAAAAAAAATGTTGACATCCTTGGCCACTGAAAGGAAAATAAAGGGAAATAAATTCAGGCATCCATTTTGAACAAATCAATAGACTTTACAAAGACAATTAAAAATATTTTCCCCATCAATTATAGATATGAGGGTGACAGAATCTCAGCCCTATGTATCCAGCAAAGTTTTCAGAAATATCCTCAAATAAAACAGACACTTTCAGTGGCTCTCTATTATTTCGAGGAAAAATATGAATTCCTCTGTTTATCCCCTGAACCCCTTCTGTATCTGACTCCAGTCTACTTTCCCAAGCTGATTATATATTGGTCCCCTTTGTGTACTCAGAGCTCCAGTCAAACAGACCAATTTGATCTTCCCCATACGTGACATTTGTTCTCCCACCTCCATGTGTTTGCACAGGTCGTCTCTCAAAGTGACAATGCTCTCCCCTCCCACTTCCACCTCTTGGATTTCTGATGCCCTTTAAGGCTTAGCTCAAGTTCTGCCCATTCCAAAAACCTTTCCTGATTCTCTCAGTTGCCATCCTCTCCTCTCCCTACCCACTCACCTTATATTTATTTTTCATACATTCCATATTTAGTTATCTCTGAATGTACTACCTCCCCTTGTAAAAATAAGTTTTGAGTGCAGAGATTATCTCATTCATTGTCTTTGACTCCTTAGAATATAGCACAGTGCTTGGCATATAGTAGGTGCTTCATCAATGCAGGGTGGTTGGGATAGGAGGTACCATTTTATTCAAAAGACAACAGAATGAAACCTGGTCCTCTGCAACAATGAGGGTGTGAGATGAAACAGGAAGAATAGCATTACTAAAGCCAGACCCCATGAATCATTAGTTCTGTCAGAGATGTCAGACACACAGGCAAAACCACAGGGGCCACAACAATCCTGGTGTGGCAAACCAGATTAGAATGAAATTGGGAAATATTTAATAAAATAAATAAAAACACAATAAAACATAGATAATGTTAATATATGTTTTTCTAAGTCAATATTTGCCTGCAGGGATCCTTATGGTTTAGTGGCTTCGGTTTCTATTGATACCATTGGCCTACCCTGACAAGTAAGTATTCACTTGGGCCAAATTGCTTTTCAATCAGGAGTTCTTAACTAACCTGGGATCTCTGGACTCTCAAGTGGTCTGTAAACTTGGATGTGAGAAAAAATTGCATCTTTATTTTCACTAGCTTTTAACTAAGATTGAGCATTTTCTTTAATTATTTAAAAATATCATGCCGAGGAGTCCACAGGCTTCACCAGACTGCAAGGGAAGTCAAGGACACAAACCAAAGGTAAGAATCCATTTTAAGGAGAGAGCAAAATCTCTAAAAATGCACAATGTCTTTATCGGAGGGTTATCTGAGTCATCTGAGAGTTCTATTGGTCCAGAAATGGGCTCAGTTTTGAGTATGAAGAAGGGAGGAGGAGAAACACTGTACTCGTATCTCCCTGTGTGTGTACTCAGCCGTCAAAATGCAATTCCGGTACTTGATTTAGGAAATAGAATAAGAAATGGCTTTGACAGGCCCCATTGTTGTTCCATGGAGATTTGTTGGCTCCACCGGTCAACCAGATGTGGCTCTAAGAACTTGGAGAATCATGGGATCTCAGAGGGGGAAACAACACCACCAATTTGGTGGAGAATCCCCATTGCAAGAAACCATGAGGCCTCCTCTTGAAGATATCAAGCAAGGAGCTACCCCTTCAGGAGATCTGGAAGCAAAGATCTCATCATATGAGGAGACCTCATGTAAGTGACAAAGGAATAACTGAAGCAAAGTTCATTTCTTTATTTTAAAAAATTGTTTTTACTGGTACCATTTGTGGTTTGCTTGTGGCCACCTCATGGCATGATGTGGAGAATTGCACAAGTGAGTAGGTATGGATGGATTGCTATCTTCATGTTGGAGAAAACATTCAAATGGATGAACTCGCTGGTCCACTGGAATATTGAGAACTTTTGTGTGTTCATATCCCATTTATTTTTTAAGTATATTCTTTATGCACTTGCCGAATGAGTCTCAGTCAATCAACAATATTTACTAAACATTTCAAGTGCTATAATGGGGATGTAAGTACAAAGAATGAAACAAGGCCATAAAGTGAACAAATACAAATAAATGCATTTCAATTGCCACTCACCATCCCTGTGACTTCCCAGACCAAAAACACTCCTTCCTGTCTTCTACTTTGCTATATGTTGTCTTCCTCTATTAAAATGCAAGGGGCAGGTAGGTGGTGCAGTGGCTAGCAAGCAGCCTGAAGTCAAGGAGACTCAACTTCACACCTCAGACATTAGCCATATGTCTCTGGGCAAGTCACTTAATCCTGTTTGCCTCAGTTTCCTCATCTCTCAAAATGATCTTGAGAAGGAAATGGCAACCCATTCCATTATCTTTGCCAAGAAAACCCCAAATGGGGACACAGAGAATCAGACATGACTGAACAACAACAAATTAAAATGCAAACTTCTTGGGAGTAGGGACTGTGTCATGTATTTGTATTTTCCTAATTTTGCATAGTTCCTGGCACAAAGAGATTAATAAGTGTTCTTGTCTTCCTCCTTCCTTCATTTCCTCCTTCCCTCCCTCCTTCCTTCCCTCCTTCTTTCCTTCCTCTCTCTCAAGAAATATCAGAGTATTTCAATTAATTCTTACTAGAAGCTAAGTGGGAGTAAATGAAAAATTTACATATAAATATGAAATACAAAAAAAGAAAGCTGTGTAGCATGTTTGTTTCAGAAATCATGAGATAAATAAAAATTTTCCGCTGGATACAAAAGCAAGGCTGTTCATCATCTTCCTACACTGGAGAAACTGCTTGGGTACTCTTAATCTTTCCATAATGATGACTTCTACAGTTCTGCAGAGGATGATGGTATATTCTGAGCTAGCCTAAGACCCATGAAGCATGAAGTTGCAATTTTGATGGCTTGTAACTGGTCCCTCTGCTTTAAACGCACAGCCATCTGATTTGAAAGGGAAATGAGACAAAGGTCCTTCACTTCTCCGTCATGCCCCGATGCTAGTGTCAGAATGTCATTGTCAGGGGGGTGCCATTTGAGCACTCATATAAATCATTTCTAGTGGATAAATGACTTTATAACACAGTTGTTGACTGACATCTTCCCAATAGCTTCAACTGAGAGTGGAATTGTTGTACTGTCTATTCAACATGGCTTTGTAGAACATATGGACTAATAGAAGACAGGTGACAAGGGTTTGGTGACCCTTCAGCAGAAGACCAATGTCTTCCATTGTAGTCACATCCATTGTGCTTCTGATGGGGATGCATTAACTACAAAGTGTGTTTTGGATTTTTTTCCTCTTTAGTTTTAGGGAACACTGATAACCTAGAGGGTACCTACATGACAATAAAAATGTCAAAAGGTTTTCATGTTACATAAGGATCAATTGAAATTACTGGGATGTTCAGTCTATAGAAGAAAAGATTCAGCAGGAACGTGATGCTTTCTTCAGGTACTTAGTTGGTTGTGTGGTATAGGCATGAGCACAAAATTGGGAGAAATAGTTTAAAGGCACAGAGAGGCAGCTCTCACTCATTATAGGGGAGAACTCCTTAATAACCAGACCTGTGGAATGGGCTGCATCAGAAGTTGGTGGCTTCCTTCTTGTTTAAGGAAAGCTTGGATGACTGCGTGTTAGAGATTCTTGATGAGGTATCCTCGGAGTCCCCTCCAACTCCGAGTTCCTGCAATCCTTGGAAATCTTGATGCCAATCTAAGGAGATTCAGCTTCCAAGTTGTGAACTCGGCAGCCCCAGACATGAAAATTCACATTTCTTCTGGGGAAAAGCATCTGGTCAGTGTGATGCATAGAGTGCTAGACTTGGGAGTAGCTGTTGGCCCTGCATAAGTCATCTTATCCTCTCTCAACCTCTGTTTCCTCATCTGTAAAATGGGGATAGTAGCAGCACCGACCTTCCATGGTTGTTGAGATGATCAGATAAGATAAATCATATGAATCGCATTACCACTTTAAGGTGCTATATATATAATAGCTATTAGCAACAGTAGAAAGACGAGGAGGAGGGATGGGGCAGGGAGTGTGAAGAGGGGGAGAAGGAGGAGTGTAGCTGTACAAAGTGTGCTTTCTTGACAATACAGCATCTCTCAACCATTTCTCCTTCTCTTAAGCAAATAAAGGCTTAATAGTTCTACTCTGACCAGGAGAGCTCTGTTCCGAGATTCTTTAAATGAGGAAGATACTGCATTTCTCTTAGGGCTCACTTTAGAAGGACAATACAGGTAGAGAAAGCAGTACATTTAGACACCTAAGTGCCATTGTTCTAGCACACCTGCTTTTTGTCACACTGAAACATAGACGTTTAAAAAAAAGACAGCTCTGGTAGGGAGGGATCAAGAGTGGGAATCTGGCCATACCAATTGGGGCAGGTACTCTCCTCAATCACAGAATCACAGAGTTTCAGAGTTGGAAGGGGCCTAGGCAGCCATCTGGAAAGGAGTATACTGGAGCCAATTCCTACCAGCTATTGAAAGATGGTTGTTAAAATTTCAATGTGAGCATATTTCTGCCTCAGAAATAAGCAAACACCATCCACTGAGGCTTTATATGTTGTTTTGCCGATTGCCAAAATTTAGGAAGTGATGAAGAAAACATCAACAATAAGATTAAATTTAAAAGAGTTTCTGCTTACATTCTGCCCCCTCCCCAACCCCTGAGAGCTGGTTGTTAAACATTTTCAATACCCCCCTGCATCTAGACCACTTCCTACACAAAAGGAATCCTCACTGTAACAGACCCAACAAGTGGTCATTCCACCTCTTAGTGATGGCCTCTGGGATGGTAGAACTCTCTGTCTTCCAAGGTAGTCCAATCGATCTCTAGATAGCTCTTATGTGGCCATATTAGTCAAATTAACTGAATAATTAACTCACTAATAGAACGATTAGTGGTTAAGGTATTGAACTTGAAGTCAGAAGACATGGATTCACATCTCCCCTCAGACTCAGCTGTGTGACCCATGGTAAGTGTCTTCA